CCCCCTAGAGGACGCAGTTCGAAGTTCCCATGAAAGGGAATTATATATATTGTATGTTGTAATATTAATGATGCTTTCTTTCTATATATAGCATTAACCTTACACTTTACATATATCTTTGTTTCGTTCTTGAGTAGTACACATTAATTTTATTATTTAATAGATGACTACAGTGGTGGTACAGTGATGTTTTCCATAAACATCAAGGAATACCATGCTACTATAATGTTACATGTCTAAAAATGGTAGTATTGTTATACTTTACAGTAGAACACGGTAGAAAATACACAAGAAGTAACTTGTTGCTTTTGCCTGTTTTATTATTTAAAGGATTGATGCTCCTAACTTAAACCATAATTTTAAAGTAGGCTGTCCATTTTTAAAGTCTAGCTGCCGCTCTTTATCTCAGTCTCATCTCTCTGGGCTGTCACTTCTGAGTCAGGGTCTGTTTGAATGTGACACCGTCATCCTGCTTTTCGCTTGAGTGCAGCGTGGGCTGCTTGTCTAATAACATGTAAACGGCCCCCTCACTGGACAGGTCAATCGATCTTGATCTTCTTTTCTGCCCTCTAATGCATCTGACAGGTGCTGCCACCCCCTGCTGAGCACCGAGACCACAGGGCATGATTCTACCTGCTGTATGAGGACAAGCCACTACACTTAAGACTGAAAGACACTTGACTACACTCTCTACACTATTTTTATGCTGTATATTGTGTCTACATACCATGGGCTGTAAAAGTCTGAGACAACATTGGAAATCTGGGATTTTTTCATGTCTTTTCACTTAATTATGTTGATAGGACCCAAATACATTGCAGATATACTCACTGAATATAAGCCTAACAGACCACTCAGATCATTAGGATCAAGTCAGTTAGAAATACCAAGGGTTCACACAAAACAAGGGGAATCTGCTTTTAGTTATTATGCCACCCACAGTTGGGATCAGCTTCCAGAAGAGATCAGATGTGCTAAAACATTAGTCACATTTAAATGCAGACTCAAAACTCATGTTTAGCTGTGCATTTAGTGGATGAGCACTGTGCTACGTCCCGACTGATTGCACTGCATTTTATGTATAATCTTTTTCTATTCTTAACTGTTTTAATTCATTTTAAATTAATTTTAGTTTATTTTAAAAGTTTTTATTATTTGTTTTTTAATGATTATTTTAATTCCTGTTATGTAAAGCACTTTGAATTACCATTGTGTATGAAATGTGCTATATAAATAAACTTGCCTTTCCTTGCCTAATGTAATTTGTAATAAAAAAATAAAATATAAATAAAATATTAAATGAGAAAAAAAAGCTAAATAGAATTTTCATTAGTGGTCTCAGACTTTTTGACCCCCAAAACACAATCCACATCTTCAAAGAAGCACTTGTAGAAAATCTAGAAAAATCTAGAAAATATACAAATCTAACTATGTTAATTATAGTTGCCATATTAAATACACTTGTTATTACTTTAAAATGATAATACAGTTGTATTATGAGAATATCAGTGGTGTCCAATTACCACAGTTTAATCATAGTAAAAATAACTGTAGCAACTGTAATTTTGGTAGTTTTGTAAGAGTGTATGCATATTGAACTATACATGTATGTCTAAATTGTAAAAACGTCATGAAATAGTTTTGACAATCACTGTGTTCTTTTCCATCTTTCCTCTATTTGCAATTGAAACAGAAAGTTGGGAGGGAAGATTGAAGATTAAAGGGCTCATCTCTGGTAGTCTTACATCAAAACTTGCTATTGCTAATTGCGAAGGTTTTTGGAAGAGGGGACACACTCATTTTAGAAAGCATTTTATTGGACACAAAATTTGCAGTTATCTCTATGTACAAGGTCAAGAATATTTGAGGTCTATTTTTCCAAATACATATCTGGTAGTTTTCACCCAGGATCACTGAAAAAGTATGCCTGTGGCAATATTTCTGCAAAATGAAATGACTTTGCTGCTTGCACGTTTTGTGGCACTTTGAATACCAGAGTGTTCCACACTGCAAATTCAGTACTCTACCAGGTGGGCTACTGAGCAAGTGTACTACATCACAAAAGCCATACATATGGACCTGGTAATGTCATGCAAACCTCAAAATGTTGTTATTATGGTATGCATGTTATTAGTTTACGAATCATGCACTGTGGTGTGCTGTTTTGAGGTCATAAGATAATATTGTGCAAGGAACTGCACAAAAATAATCTATACTAAATCTATATTATGCTAAATGATTTTATTCATCAATAATCTGGCCTTGTAATCATAATTTGTGCAAAAAGGAATAAAAGTTGTTGGTGTTTTACTGCCACTGGATTGTATGTGAGGCATGTTTTTCCATTGAGCCTAAAAGTTTATTTTATCATATAGTTGGATTCAGCTGATAGATGTGCACTTAAAGCCATAAAACTTAGATTTTTTGATATCCTGCGATCTTAAAAAGTTTATAGCTTCTTCCTCTCTGCTCCATATTAAAAGTTGAGGCCTCAAGCTTGACAATGTCTTCCTTCTACTTCTCAATTCCCCTTAATCCTCAACATTGTGCCAATCCCCCAGACCGCAACTCTTGTCATCTTGACATGAAGGAAGAACTTTATCCTGAAAGACATACAGTGAGTGTAGAGCCCACATCGGATTGATGGATTCAAACCGTCAGCTTTGAATCAAGGACCTCCTCCCTGACTAGCCTCATTGTTTTTGGGAGAAAGAGATACAAAGACATAGTTTCATTTCTTTTGACAGTGGACGTGAACAAGATCTTGTGAGGTTTTCTCCTCCTCTCAATTTTCATTGCTACATCCTTCAAAATCTTGAGTGCGTGGTGATTTGGGCATGTTTTTTTCCGCTTTGGCAGTTCCCACAGAGTGAGATGAGTGTTGAGATTTTCTCTTTTTCCTGTCTTTCTCTCTCTCTGCGCAGCTTCTATAGTAGCACAGAAGTGGTGGTGTCAGATGCAGCCGTGTATGGAGGGCGAAGAGTGTAAGGTGTTGCCGGATCTAAAAGGTTGGAGCTGCAGCACGGGAAACAAAGTCAAGACGACCAAGGTGAGAGGGAGCCTGTCCAATCACAGCACAGTCCAATTGCCATCATAATAATGCCAATATCAGCTTGAGAAATGATCCAAAATAGCTGTAACAACAGTTAGTTGTACAACAATAATTCTATAATATTATATACCGGTACTCAGTTATTAATTACTGAATATATATATTTTAACAGTATTGATATAGATAGATAGATAGATAGATCAGTCAATATATAAAATATATATTAATTTAAAATATATTAATATATTAATACAATATATATTAATTATATTTAAATATTAATATATTGGTATACAATATTAATATTAAAAACTATTAATAGACTGATAGTTTTAAATTGGATAAATATTGAAAAATAATATACCCCACATTTATAAAATTAAATACTAAAAACATTTTTTTTTTTCATTTTGAAATCAAAAATTTTTTATTCTAATAATTGTTATAATATCACTATATTATAGTAAATATACTGACAATTTTAAATTGGAGAAATATAATCTGATATTCCATTCTTCCTCAGAATGCACTAGATTTCTGCTTTCCTCAACTGTCATGCGTCAGCTTGTTAGTGGTCCTTGAATTTTACATTGTCTTTAAATAAAACTCAATCTGGGACCCTAGACAACCTTTATTGTCCAACAAAAGCCAAAAGAAACACAATGTGGCATTGCATTTAGGAATGTCAGCGCAGGGCAATGATGCGCTTCCGCAGGTTAATGTGAGTTATTGTTTTTGCATTTGCTGCTGCGTGTTTGCGAGCCGCTGTGTATGTACGGTTGACACGCAGGGCTTGTAGCCATCCATCAGGCTGAGAAGTTTGACTCACCAAATGCCTGTGCTTGAGTCGAGTCCTCCATTATTCATGGGGCAGAGGAGCCTACGTGAGGCAGACCTTTTTTTTTTTTTACTTTAGCCCTGTTAATAATTCATGCAGCTGCACTCACGTCAACAGCAGGCAGACCACTGAGGTGTTGGGAGCTTCTCTCAAACCTGGGCTTGATTTTTGGGGACCTCCAGGCCACCGTCCATGGATGTGGACATGCAGTATAACCACAAGAAATGATGAGGGCATGATGGGATTGTTTAATCTAAGGTCTGATCTCTCTGATCATTACTTTGAACTTTGCACCAGATCCCTTGATTGAATTAAATTGGACATTTAATACCTTTTTTTTGCCTTATTCTAGTACTAAGTGCTAATTATGATCTTTTTGTTTAAAATATATACTGAAGATTATAAATTGTAGTTGAAAGTGATTTCTTCTGGGGGGAAAAAATTGTCACTAGAATTGTTGCGATACCAAACTTTCAATAGTCTATAACAATAAAAATGAAATTCCAAATTCTTAACACCACAGCAAAAAATGAAGATGCAAACTATTTTGTAATTGGAAAAAACGGGAAAAAAAGATATAAAGAAGTTTATACTTTTATTCAGCAAGGATAGATTCAATTTATCAAATCTGACAGTAAAGACATATTACAAAAGATATCGATTTCGAATAAATTCTGTAGATTGAACTTTCAAAATGTTATAATGTATCACATTTTCCACAAAAAAAGCAGAACAACTGTTTCAACATTGATAATAATGTTTTTTGAGCCTGAAATCAGCATATTAGAATGAGTTCTGAAAGATCATGTGACACTGAAGACTGGAGTAATGATGCTGAAAATTCAACTTTGCATCACAGAAATAAATTATATTTTAAAATGTATTAAAATAGAAAACCATTATTTTAAATTGTAATAATATTTTGCAATATTATTGTATTTTTAATTAAATCAATGCAGCCTTGTTAAGCATACGAGACTTCTTTAAAAAAAAAAAAAAAAAAAATTTGTATTGACCCTAAACATTTTTCCGATATAGTGTAATGCAGTTTATATTATAGTATTATTTTAGCAAGTGCCAGCATATAATACACCGCTGTGTATACTGCTGAAAATAATACACAATAGAATTAAGTTTTGTGCAATATGACAAATTTTAATATACATTCAGGAATATCCTGACCTCTTTCCTTTATATTGTGTTTGAACGATTCTCAGTAGCTCAGTCTGAACTTGTTTCTGTTGAATTGCCGGTCTAGTGAGTCCATGTCTGAACCAGAGAGGGAGGTTGGAAGTAAAGGAGATGGCGGCCAGGACACCTTCCACTTCCTCTGTGTGTCCTCCGGCTGCCTGCTGGCAATGACCTGAAGGTGTAGATTACACTGGGCTTACCTTAGCAGCCTGCCAGTCTGGCCTCATCCACAACTATAGAGACCTGCCCTACCCTGGCCTCTGAACCCAGAGCCTTGCTTTTGTGTTTCAGAGCTGGAACAGGACCAGGCTTGCATGCTAAACCCTCTCAGATCCAGAGGAGCTAGCGGTTCCGGTCCCTCAGTGTGCTGCTCTCTATTTCGGGCCGCTACCGCTGAGCTCATACTGGTGGTGTGGTTAATGACACTTGTAGGTGACAATACAGTGTGTCTGTGTGAGCATGTGTCAGTCCCCATACTAACACCTCATGCCTTAGAGGAAACTTCTAATAGAAGAATTTTCCATTTTTATAGCGCTGAAGGCCCTCTAATGATCAAGAGATAATTAGTTAACCTTCTGTGATTGTTGTTGTTGTGTAATGATGATATATACTGAAGTGCTGTAATGTTTAGTCTACAGTGATGACACCTCATATTAACATTTCAGATTGGCTGAACACCATCACTGAAGAAGTGACACAAACAAGCAAATAAATAAATAAAATTGTCATTATATACAACAATTAGTAATATTTACAATTAGGGCTGGGCGATAAATCGATAACGATAATTATTCATAATCATTCACATCGAATTGTATTATATTATTAATGTAGACATGTATTAAATGTATTAAAGGAGTAATGGAATATAATTACAGTATTTTTGTGATTAAGCTATAGCGTTTGTGCATTTGTACTAAATGTATTTAGACTTTTACATACAAATACCTAGAGACCATATAGATACATTTTTACCATGGTATCGAGGTGCTATATGTGTGGTTTTAACTGTGGTTGTCATGATCTAAATGTATGCTACTATGGAAGACCTATGGTTAATTTTAATAAAACTCAAGCAGTCAGAATTTATATATATATTTCACCATATCAAATTGAGGTTGTTACAATTTTTACAGATCTTATTTTTTTCGATAATGAACATAAACTTACATCTGCATCAACTCAACTCAATCTACTGTCAAAAATGCATTTCAAAGAAACAAAAAAAGTAATATTATTAATATTGCAGCCTGCACTGCAAACTGTGCTGAAGATATGCGTCATCAAAATCAGGCAACGCAACCCTGTTTCATGATTTGAAACAACATGCAGAAACTAAGAAATTAATTTTTCTATTAAGATATTTATTTTAATGAAAATGACTGGAATAGATTGTGGAATATGCAGCAAATTAAATACTGCAAATGAAATGAATGAAAAATGCAAATGAAAGTTGCATTATTTCATATACTGTATATCACACAATAACACATATATCACAGTATGTGACAGTTGAATTAAATCTATTATTATACATTATATTTTGACTCTAAATTATGATTGAATGAGCCTCATTCATGTTGTAAAATACACCAATATATGTAAATCTTATGCAGACATGAAATGATAACTTGGACTCCTCTTTTTCAGGTCACACGATAGTCTGGGACCAATAAACATTTGGGACTAGCAGTTTTTTTTTATCAAAGCAATGGACATAGACTTCAAACTACTTCACAACTATTGGGATCAAGTTGTTGGACCTCAGTTGAATACTAATGTAATTTGGAATGGACCATTTAAACATGGAATTTTTCACTCTTTTTTTTCCCTCCTCTTATATTTTCTCTTGTGTCGGACAAGATCATACACCATGTAAAGTAAATATTCCATAAAAATCAAGATGTGGACCAGTTCAGAGACAATTCTGCGATTTCAGAACAATGGATTACATTTCCTTTTTGGAGCGAAAGTGGACTTGAAAGGTTCGCTTATTACTTGAATCATATGTTCCAGAGGCACTAATATTCAGTCCCCTATCCTTTGGTGCCAATATTTCTTTCTTCTACTATGGGCAGACTTTTTGATCAGTGTGAAGTGTATGATTTTTGGGTATGGTTTTGGGGGCACTCAGCTCCATTTTGAAACAGACTTGTGCAAGAGCAAGAGGCAGGTATGACGCTAAGAATTACAGGTATTAATAATGGATGGAAAAGTTGAAGTGGTCTACGGGAGCAGTGAAAAAGAAGATAGCAAAAAGATTTATTGTTTGTTTTTAAAAGCCTTGGCGGCCAATATTGAGTCAAAGTGTCAGTATTATCTCAAATAAAAGTATCTCTATGGGAAACCTCATCCAGTTGCAACTTTAAAGCATGATTACTTTGCCATCATAAAAGAGAAAGCGCATTTAAACGTAACATCCACCCACCAACAGAACAAAAAGAATAAACAATCAGACATCTTTCATTATCCATGTCACAACACATTCGCCAGCTTTGATAAAATCTTCAAGAGCATCAAGATGTCACATGACTATGCTAATGTTCACATTGAAACTGACATGTAGCCTCTTTCTTTGATATACAGATTTATGTGCAGACGCCACATTATTAACATTCATTCAGTGAGTCACATAGTGCTTTTGCAGCTGTCACAGAACACTTCAGACTGACTTGCATAGGGCAGGGCTAATGCTATTAGCATAACACCATTTGCCAGCGATTTTGTCTGGCTAATTTACCATTAGCACTAACAACAGCAGAACAAGGAGGGGCACGGCGAGGTTAGTCAAGATGTCATTTTCTTCGAGAAGTAAGTCACACAAAGGCTTGCTCCGAACATGTCATAAACATAATGTTCAGACACTGGAGCGTTCATAATGATGGACTAATGTACTAATGTATTTAGCTAATTGCAGACAGTGAGCAAGCTTTCAACTGAAAGAATGTGTCATTAGCTAAGACTAGGAGATAAAAGCATTTAGGCTTGTGTGTATGTGTATGTGTATGTGTGGTGAGGCAGTTTTGGGTGCTTTGACTGTGTTTTCAGGACATTGTGCTGCAGGTCATGGCATTGGGACAAAGGGTCAGTCTTCTTGAACGGAGAACTCAAAGACCATTCTTGTCCTTGAATCACGGTAGGTATTTGAAGTACAGTATTCATAACAGTATTGGAGTGACACTAGAAACATAACCACATTTTTAGTAGTGTGACATTAATAAAGTACTTTTTCTAAAAAAATATTAGCCTTACAGCCGAACTGAGGCAGTACTCAAGATTCAGAAGTTTGATTATTTTTAGTGAATCAGCTCATTTGATCATTCGATTCACCTATTCAGGCACAGCATTTTACGCTTTTTTATTAATGGCTCAATTTAGCTGTTTGTCACAATGTTTTTATTTTTTTTAATTTTGGTTGTATTTAGTATAAAAAAACTAGCTATATTTATAGTTCATGAACAAATTCTTTTGAAGCAGAATTTTTGTCAGTGAATCAGGACTGAACGATTCGTTCACAAAACGGACTGCACAAATATGTGTATTTTGTCACGTTCTGGGTGTGTTGAGTCAGTGAGTTGATGACTCACAACCGTCTTGATGATTCAGTCCAATTTGTGAATGAATCATTCAGTCCTGATTCACTGAAACGATCCAAACGATCAAAAGTACAGTTCGTTCATGAATCGGAGATCACTGCTATTTTTTGTCTCTGATATACACTGATTGAAAAAAATATATATATTTTCTGTCAGTGATAATATTTGGACATTTGGGCCATTCAGTCCAACTTGTGAATGAATCGTTCAGTCCTGATTCACCTAAACGATCCAAATCAAAAGTACAATTTGTTCATGAGTTGGAGATCGCTATTTTGTACCTGATATATGATGATTGTAAAAATTTACATTTTCTGTCAGTGATAATATTTGGATGTTTGGGTGATTTAATCTAATTTGTGATAGAATCATTCAGTCCTGATTCACTGAAATGATCCAAATAAAAAGAACAATTTGTTCATGAACCAGAGATCACAACTATTTTTTTGTTCCTTGACTATAATTTATCTTATGCGAATTATGAGCAGTTTGGGAAGCTTCAGGTATACTAATCTAAAGTTCGTATTTTTAACAATTTAGCATTTGTTGCTGTTTGTGTGCTGCATGTTTGGAGATGTTTCAGGCTGTCTTGACTCTTCATCTCAAAACAATAAGTTTTATCTCAAAACTCTTGCGTTTAGGAAACTGTAGGTGCGTTTGCTTGTTTCAAAGGTACACAGTTAGCATTAATAATATGCAGAGAGCGTAGTTAAGAGTGCCATGTTATATAAACCCAGCTGTGGAGTCTAATGAGTGGTATCAGACTGAGGACAATACCAGATATGGGACAGTGATGATACCTTGTAGAGCGGCCAGGATTAACCAGACTTCTCCATGCTGGGTCTCTCAGCCGTTAATCCATCCGGCCAAGGGCAGTCGCAGCAGCCCCAAAATTCACAAGGCTTTCCAGAAGATCCTGAATGAACCCTTATGAATTATCACGCCTAGCATCCTTATCTACATGCAGAGCGCGCCCAGGCCTCTATAGAGGAAGCTGTGAGGGGGATTGAGTCCACGGGACTCCGGGCTCATTAGGGTGCAGGGAAGACACAGGTAGGAGTCGGTTTGTTTGCCTCGTGTCGCATCACCCAACACCTACCACTGCTTTCATCAGCATCACCTGCATCTGAATGGTAATGGGGACATTACATTTACATTTACATTTAGACATTTAGCAGACGCTTTTATCCAAAGCGACTTACAATTGGGGGATACATAAAGCGATTCTTCTTAAAAGAGATACAGATACAGGAAGTGCTTGTAATACCAAGTTTTTAGAAATTGTTCAAATAAGTACACGCTAGAAAGAGAAGGAATAGATAAATAGATATAATTTAAAAAAAATGTTTTTTTTATGATGATGAAGTCAAGTAGCTTCGAAAGAGATGAGTTAGTCACAATACAAAAGGTGGTGAGACTGGAGGAATGCCAGAGTGTGTGCTGTAAGAGTTCAGAAATGCTGGGTTTTATTAGGATTGATTTGAAATATTTGCCATTCTAAGGGTTTCTAGTAATTGAGACGAGTATTTGCATAATGTTCAACAACCTCAATGAGGTTAATGGATGGTGTGGAAAGGGCAGATATGTAAGGACACTTGCTGTATTTTTTTTCTCCTTGACCCTTCTGTAAGATGCCAGATGAGAGGGATGAATGTGAAACTGGAGAGAAAGAGATTTATGTAAATGAAGATGATCATATTCTATGTTTATAAAGTAGCATCCAGACCATCAGTTCCGAAATCCTGGCAATGGTTTGGTTTGGGAAGGTTTTGGCACTAACTGCACATGGATTTGGTATGTTGCATGCATCGATGCCTGTTGTTCATCAAACATGATGGCCAGATGGTACGTGGAAGATTTTAAAGGAGTAAAACTCCCAAAAATGAATGTTCCATCATTATTTACTCACCCTCATGTCATTATAAACTTGTATGACTTTGTCTTCTCTGTGAAGCCCAAAAGAACATTCACACAGCTCCTTGCCATAAAATGGTCGCTCATATTGATTACATCTGACCAAAAAAACACCACTGAAGTCATTCATACAATTAAAACGAATGGATTTTTGGCTCGAGGACATCAAACCAGATATTCCAAGCATTTCAGAATTTTAGTGCACAAAAAAAAAATTGGTGTTGAAACATTTTTCAAGTTTCAGTTTTAGGGGTTGCAAAGTTGCAAACAATGTGTGTGTGTTTTGACTATACTTGTGAGGACCAAATGTTTTCACTTACATAATGAAATACTTTTGACAACCCACTAGTGAGGACATTTTACAGTTCCTCACTAGTTAAAAAGTCTTATAAATCAGCCAAAAGATGATTTTATTTAAATCTGGTGTTCTGAACATGTTTCTGTGATGGGTAAGTTTAGGGGTAGGGGTTGGGTTAGGTGATAGAAAGTATCTTTAACCTGATATAAAATCAGTGTAAGTCTATGCAATGTCCTCACTAAGATAGTGAAACTAACGTGTGTGTGTGTATGGGTGTCATTTTGTTTAGTCTACCTAATGTGCATCATATTTACTTATTGGTGTCAGTTGGCACATTGGTAGGTCCATAATCAAAGGGTGAAAAAAGCAAACAATGTGCATCTGCACCTCGAGTGGTCACACATATGGCACATAAGGGTCACAGCAAGGTTCTCCAAAAAGCCATTAGATCAAGAAGACTCTGTAGTGGCAGGAGTGTTGCAATTTTACTTTAATATGAACACTGTCTGTTGGCATTTCCTTCTGAGCATGACAGCGCATTGATAAGCATATCGGCATTATGCTTTGAATATGAAATCACGCATTAGAATGAATGCTACACGCTGGATGTTTCATAATCCTTGGACATCCTGATTGAAATGCACAAGCTGTCATTTGAAGGATACATGAAGAGGCAGCTAATATAATCTGTTGGAGCTGTCATCTCGGTGTAGTTTTATAGTCCAAATTAACCGGTCCTCATCTATAGCATTTCTGCCCACGTGCAAATTGTTATCCAAATCCTCTCATAATCCTTAGATTTGTGCGTTATATCACGTTTATGGAGATAAGCAGTGTTGCTAGCGCCTTTTGATGGGCGCTTTGAAGTGAATCATGTACGCAATTATATGTAAAAGCGTCGATAATGTTTCTCTTATCAATGGAATGACTTGCGCTCAGTAAAGCGCAGGTCTCAATTAGGTCCTGTGCTGAAACAGTCCAATGTGCGGAAGAGTTCTTCACAGAGTAATAAATAGATACTTGAGCTCACTTGGTCAATAGCAAACTTCCAGAATTTCTAGCAGAGCGTTCGTCAAGGCCTTTTTTGTGTTTTTATGTCAGTTTCACCATCGTAATTGAAACCGCGCTCTCACCACAGGGTAGTCGTGATAACGAACATAATTAATTAAGTAGAAATTAAGGAGACATACTCCCAAAGATCAGACCCTTGGGACACCAGGGAGGAGGGTTCGAGTTACGCTTAGTAATCTAGACTGCAGTCTTGTTTGGTTTAAAGTCATTAAATTACAGTAATGACTAATTTCTTATTCGTGCATGCTTCTCGCCAGAGACCGCCGTGAGTTTTTAATAAAGGAATGCAACTGAATGAGAAACATTGCACTGCGTGCGAGAGAGAAGGAGAGGGAGCTTTGCAATTGTGCGAAGTAATTCAAAAGCACATTAATAAAACAATACAGAAACATTCTGAAATCACTTGAGATAAAGTACATTTGCATAATTCATTAAGATTAATCAGACTGCAATACATTCAGCTGCTT